CTAATGAAGTCAAAATGCATCATGTAGAAAAATTTTTTCAGATGAGCCTAGAAAATGCCTCTTCTTAACCCCCCTCAATCAAAAATAAGACAAACACAAATGGGCTGCAAAGAGAATACTCCAGCCTTTCCACTGTCCAAATAAGAACAGAAAACCTTTACCTGCAAATAATACTCTCCTTCAACAACATGTAGCCCATCAAAGGCACCCAGAACATAAATGTCATCTTTCTGCTTCTCCACCATCTTGTAATTCAGATGGCAACGGAGGTCCTGCTGGCAAATGGCACGATTTCCCTCGGATTCAGGGAGCTCCATGAAGGAGAAGAGATCATAGTAAACAACCCCACTGAAATAGTGGCCATTTGCTGGAAGCTGTTCGATCCTGCTGGCGTACAAGTTCCCGTTAACAGCAGCGGGATAGTCAGGAGACAGACATGAGTGTGAACTCAGTTCTGCCACCAAAAGGTGACCATTTTCCGTTTCCGTATTATAATGATATGCTCTCGGACCATCTGGGGTATAAATACTACTTCTTGCAAACACATAACACCAGAAAACTTTTAGTCTGAAAGCAAGTGTATGGTATAAGTAAGCAATCCTCACTAATTAAACATGTGGCAAATTTTATTCCAATGTTTACAAGATTGTTTTGAAATTAAATTAAGCCTTCACAGACTCCAATCCTAACCTAATGCTTTTTTCAATCAATGGAAAGTAGACCAAACTCTGATGTTTCGTGTATTGTGACAAGATTAGTGTACAAAGTATATGCTATTATATATGATTTAAGTGGCTGAAGCTATACATTCCTCACTGAGTTTAGCTGCATCAGAAATCAGTATTTCTGATTAAAATGAATGGTAACACTGTCAAGTAAAAAGACTTCTGTAAGGAAAATATATTACCAGAAGTCACATCTTTATGCAGCCTCTTTACTTAAATACATAAATCTTTAAACAATCCATCCATAAGGAATATGAGTTGTATGACATAGCATCATCAATGATTGAGAACTAAAGGAACGGAATGTATCCACTTTTATTTTGCAGGTAAAGTTTGGGGCTACATTTTAGCAGCAGCCGTAAGTTTCTCTCAATTCAGCAAGCACACACCCACAAAACCTGTGCTTGACTTCTAGTATCTGCTCAGGAAAAATACACAGTGAAAACAGAGTCTGAAAAAAAAAGAAAACGTGACACAAGGTCTTGAGCCCAGAAGTAATGTCTGCAGTCCTTACAAGAACATTTCTCAGAGTTAGGTTTCCACCTAGTGGAGAAAAAAAAGGTTGGGCCTTCACATGACCAAAACATTGCTAAACACCAGGGTCAGAAGATGAAGAACCACATGCATAAACTCTCAGGAGTGATCATTTTTAACTAAAGGTGTTATAGTCAACTTATGCATTTCTAAGTTCTTACATATCACATTTTGATTTCCTTTTTATCCGTACAAGTTCTCTTGTCCTAATCCTGTTGACATGTGCATGCATGCCTAAAGCTGATGGGAATTTCTGCTCAGGTCAACTGTACTACATAGATAGAAATGTTGCCCATGAGAACAAGATGAATTAGAGCAATATCACATTACCTGTCACATCTAAAGTGGAGTTGCATGTATTTCCTGAAAGAAAGTTGACGCTCATTCCCATAGCCCATGCTGAGTGAAACTGGACTGTCAACAACAGTGGGAGAGTGTTACCCCAAACAGTTGGGAACAGAATGGTGTCAACCTGAAATCTGCTTGCCAAGACCACAGCTGGGTCATGATAGAGTATGTTCGCACAAGTGAAAATGCCAAAGTAGCCAAAGGATGTATTGAAAGTCACAAATTCTGGATCCTTCGGGTAATTAACCTGTTTCTCTGTCATGAAAAGGTTGTACTGCTCATGGAAGGGAAGGGATGGAGAAAAAAAAGATTAGGAAAGAAATTAAACCATTTAAATCAGACTAATGTTGACTACAATACGCATTCACTTAGATACAAGTAATGGAGAATATGTTTTGTGAACATGGTATATCTTAATTTCGAAATGGAGAATTCACACCACTGCAAGAGGAGTCAAGCACAAATATCCATGGTTCTGATTTTCATGTGTCACTTCCTATTGAGAAGCAGTAAAAATAGAGGACTCATTCAGTTTTAATTAATTTCATTTAATTACTTTCTATTAAATTCAGAATAGCATGAATGAAGATATCTTTAGGCAGTGGCTTTCACGTGTCCTCTGACACCCGCTCTGTAATGAGTCTATGTGCAAATACGTTTAAGCCTGGGAAGCAGCTTCTGTTTCACATCTTTAATCACCCGAGGATCATGCATTTCCTGAACTTAGTAAAATCCTCTTACCTTGTGGTAACGAGCTGCCAGTTTCCCTTCCGAGTCAAAGACAACTTTGGTATCGTACTGACAGCGACCATCATTTGGGCACCTTGGATCACTGGAGTTACACGGCTTCTTGTCTCCCATGTTGGCAATCACATAGATGGAGTTATTCCTCGCCAGGCACTCAGTCTCTCCAGCACTGGTGAGGGAGCAAACCTAAACAGCAGGGAAGAAAGGAAATAGGATATCACAACCAGTCAATCCATATAAATGCCAAGACTACAGATCACAAGAGTGGTAGGATTAAGTTAGTAATTTCTAGTACGAGACAGTTGTTTTCTGGTATTCAACAGAAGGCAGTGGTTTTGTACTTCAAAGCTTAGCGTGCTGCAACTCTGGCTTCACTTCACGTTAGATAAGTGAGGAACAGAGGGGTTTTCTCGTGGTGGAAGTGAATCTTTGCACCTTCGAGTCTCCCGTCTGCTGCCAGCATGTGGCACAGAGCTGATCTTACACTGATACACGGGCTACTCTCAGCCATGCCACTTCAGCTCCCAATTTGGCTGCTGTGCTGAGGTAGCTTAGGATTTGTTTCTTCTATGGTGTGTTTCGTTATCTTTCACCAAATATTGCCACCTCAAAAAATGGTGCAGTTTACTAAGGAAGATAAAATTTGAGCTTCCTTCCCTTTATAATGCTGTGGTGTCAAAAAGAAGCGGGTCCGAACACTATCATGCTTTAATCTGATGGACATAAAATAATTTAACAGAATAAAAAAGCTACCATGTCATGATTCAAAAATATAAATGTGAAATTTTGTAGTATATCCTTTCAGTAGTAGCTGTTATTTTATTCACAAATATTCCTAATATTCCTATATCTTAAACCTATTCTACAACATGCATGGAATACATTACTGAAATGTAGATTCTTTTAAATAAATCTTGACCTCTATGAGTATATTAAATAAAATCAAAAGAATTACAGCAAGAAAAAACTAGAGAGAGAACTGATGAAGGAAATTGTCTGAAGCTATTTATGGCAACTACCTCATGTCTAACCTGCCTTTGTTTCACAGCAGTTGTTCTGAGACATCTAGAACTATCAACGGCCCCTCCTAAAGGTAGCTGTCTTTCCCATCGGACCATTCCCTCGTGCACAGCAGGGACGATACCTTGCAGGATCAGCACACGGTATCCAGTCCACCCGTAGGTCTGGGATATCCTTGAGATAAGGGTATATTTTTTCCCTTGTGAAGACCCAGCTGTAAATTCCATCTTCAGGAGTCACAATGATATGGGCACCCTGGTACCAACAGAGTAAACAAAAAAACACCATTAAGAAAATTAATAAATGGTCAGTGTTTACCAAAATCAATGTTTCTAATGAGGTCATAATACCTGTCTGTCTGCTGCTTTGACAGCTGCTTCCAAAATTGCCATATTTTTGTCCATCAGCATCAAGGCCCCGTCAAGAGAAACTGGCACTTCAGTGTCCTCTGACAAAACGACACTGTGCTCATGAACGGCTGCGACGTAGCTGTCCAGGGCACAGGCCTCCAGAGCAGACAGCAGCAAAAGCACGGCAGAGGCACGAGCTTTAGGAAGCCCCATGTCTGGAGCCTGGAAGTCGCCCAAGAGGAGGACAGGAGCAAGCAAAGCCAGGGGACTTCAAACAGGGAAAGTCTTGCACAAAATCTGGGAATTCCGCAGAGTGGCAGAAAGCCGACACCAGGAGATGCAATCACCCTGCCCGGAAAGTCTCACAACATCAAAGGCAAGAGAGCTGCCAGCATTGAGCAATCCTGCCTTTCGCCACCAACAGAAAAGTCACGGAGAAGTCACCACTGTGCTCCAGCTGGAGAAACGTGTCGCTTGCCAGATTTACAAACGATTCAGGTGTGGCATCGCTGTATTAATGCAGCTCAAGGCAAGCCCAGGTCACAGCAGGAAAACCAGCCAGAGTTTGGGAAATCTCAGCAAAGACCAGCACGGACACATTCCTGCCCAAAGCTGAGGGTGTGGGGTGCAGGCAGGGCTGCAGGAGGCAGGCGGCTGGACCCGAGCTGGGTGCTGCGGCACGGGCACTACCCGTGCCACCCCAGCTCAGAGCTGCTCCAATCTAGCACAGTGTAGTTTGGCTATACCTCGCAGAGTCCCTACTTATCACAGCTTCACAGGTTGTACAACCATGTTAGTAACAGCAGACAGGTATTTAGATGTGCCACCGCATGAGACAAGCACAGCTCTAGCCAGGGGGTTGCTGAGTTTCCTGTAGAAGATCCCACTGCTCTGCTTTAACCATCGTTCCAGGACTCCCGGGTAATCATGGCAGGAGAACATGCTTGTCAGTTGATTTGAACAACGAAGTTGGAAACCAGGATTCCTCTTCAGGTTTCTTTTGCCTCCATTGTGTACGTGAAAGAACAGAGAGGGGGGAAAAAAGTATTGCCAGAAAGGCAGAGGAGTTAGTTAAGCCTGTCTTGGTTCCCCTTGAGTGCTTTGGCTGAGCATCTGGAAGTGAGGAGGTTTCCCCACCACACCTTGTTGGAAAATAGTAGCCCTAGACTTTTGATAGACTTACTGTTGCAGAGACAGTTAGTACAAACATTACAGCTGGCATTTATTGGTAAAATAGATCTCAGCCCAAACTGAGTCTTCATATGTAATACATACATACATATGACTGTGCATATATGATTACCAAGTTTCCTCCAGGACTGAAGATCAGTTAGTTCTGTGTAGAGATGCTAATTCTCTTCATTACCTTTGCCTCTTCACTACCTTCCTCCTCCTTTTCAGGCACCTTCAAGATAATACAAGTGCTAGCAGACACAAAGTCTTTTAGACTCTTGTTTAAGAAAATTCACAAAACTTAGGAAAAAAAGTTGCTTTATTGAAAACAATATTATTCTTAATGCTTTATAATTTCAAATTCTGTTTCAACATTTTATCAGTTAAGGTATTACAAGATAATGAACTTTCTTTAAAAAAATACAGAAAATCACTGTAGCAAAATAGTAGCTTTACCCAAGAATAATGCACAGCAGGCTCAAGTATAGGAACAAGACATTTGAAAACACACCTCTTCACATACAGTGGTGCACTGTATATGGAACACGATTAAATAGGCTGACATCTGAGTATTACTCATCACTTCAGCCAATCCACATGAGGACTTCCAAAAGAAAGGCAGTCAGTGTTTAGTGTTTCAAAACAGTAATGCAGCTACAACTAAACCACAATGGGTTGTTCACTAAGGGATCATGTATCCCAGCTCCAGAATAATGAAACACTGTTATGTCCACTCATCTCAACACTAGGTTAAACCACAACAGTAAACAGAGCATTGAAAGTATGTCTGGCTATGTTTCACTGCCCATCAGATGAGTTCGCTCTTCATTACTACCAGGAGGATTTTGCAGGCTGGAACTGGAACTGTTTGCACAAGCAAAAGAACAGGAGAGAAGAAACAGGTTTAATATTCTTTACATAATTCTATGCAATACCAACATAATGGCAAAAAAGCCACAGATTACATGGAAAGAACTACATGGATCACTGGACTTGGTTCCCCATTATTGCACAGAACCAGGTACTATTGCTTTCACACCTGTCATTTCACAGAATCACAGAATGGTTTGGGTTGTAAGGGAACATTAAAGGCCATCTAGTCCAAGCTCCCTGCAATAAGCAGGGACATCTTCAACTAGATGAGGTTGCTCAGAGCCCCGTCCAACCTGACCCGGAATGTCTCCAGGGATGGGGCATCTACCACCTCTTTGGGCAACCTGTGCCACAGTTTCACCACTCTCACTTTGAAAACTTTCTTCCTTATATCTAGTTGAAGTCTACCCTCTCTTAGTTTAAAACCATTACCCCTTCTCCTATTGCAACAGGCCCTGCTAAAAAGTTTGTCCCCATCTTTCTTAGAAGCCCCCTTGAAGTACTGGAAGGTTGCAAGAAGGTCTCCCCGGAGCCTTCTCTTCTCCAGGCTGAACAACAACTCTCTCAGCCTGTCCTCATAGGAAAGGTGTTCCATGCCGTTGATCATTTTTGTGACCCTCCTCTGGACCCGCTCCAACAGGTCCATGTCTTTCCTGTGCTGAGGGCTCCAGAGCTGGATGCAGTACTGCAGGTGAGGTCTCACCAGAGCTGACTAGAGGGACAGAATCACTTCCCTTGACCGGCTGGCCATGCTGCTTTGGATGCAGCCCAGGATACAACTGGCCACCTGGGCTACAAGTGCACATTGCTGGCCTGTGTCCAGCTTTTCATCCACCAGTACCCCCATGTCCTTTTCTGCAGGGCTGCTTTCAATCCCTTCATCCCTCAGCCTGTACTGATATCAGGGGTTGCCTTGACCCAGGTATAGGACCCTGCACTTGGTCTTGTTGAACCTCATGAGGTTCACATGGGTCCACTTCTCAAGCTTGTCCAGGTGCCTCTGGAAGGCATCCCATCCCTCAGGTGTGTCAACCACACCCCTCAGCTTGATGTTGTCTGTAAATGTGCTGAGGGTGCACTTGATCCCACTGTCTGTATCATTGGTAATGATATTAAACAGTACCAGTCACAATATAGACCCCTGAGGGACACCACTCATCACTGATCTCCATACAGACACGGAGTTGTTGGCCACCACTCTCTGGATGCGACCATGCAGCCAATTCCAGCTCAGACACCCTCCTGGAGAAACTATCAGTAGGGTTTGCTCATTAATGCCACAGTTCTGTTGCTTGTATAGAACAGGCACTGCCTGGTGTAGGCCTCTGTTCAGGTCAGTAGGGATTTAGGAAAGCCAACAAACAAAGTATCTAAGCAATGTTTTTACTGCTCATCTTGTCATTCGTTATCAGGTTGGTCATGAGGAAAAAAATGGAAGCACAGCTTTCAGAGGTTTGCTTTATAACAGCTGTAAGTAAAATAAAATAAAGAATAAATATTTCAGCATACCTTCTCCTTGTTGCCTCAGTGATATAGAATATTCCAGTTGCAAGACCCTTTGAGGAAACAAGTCAGTTACAACTGTAATAATAATAACAATTTTATGCAATAGCTCATAACTGCAATAGATATAAAAAGAAAAAAATGTGTAATTACTTACACTTAACAGTGCCCATCCTCCTTGGATGGCTGAGGCCCATTCAAAACCCAGCTTTTCATTTAGAAATCCTCCCAGAGTGGGACCTGCAAATGCCCTGCAACAAATCAAAATGAGCTATTGGCATCCCAAACAATAAAGATAACATATCATATTCCCAGAGATCTTTTTAATTGCATTTTGTAGCCTCCATTGATTCTCTCTCCTTTGTCAACAAAGAGATTGTCTTCCACAGACCTAACTTTCATAGAATCCACAGTAAGTATTAATTCTTTAATAAACCTGTCTAGTTACCTCTTCAGCTGGAAATAGGATCCACATTAGAAAGCTGAATGCACTCTTTTCTGTATCTGGAATGGCTTAGAGGCTCCATTAATGACCATGTTCAAACAGAGCATCAACACTATTTTTCTGTCATAAAAGAAATTTAAACTCTCATCCCTCAAAATGTAAACATCCCCAAACTTCAAGACAAACGACTGATGGATATAGGCAGCGGGGGAGGCACATTGTGACAGATGTGGTCACTGCAAGGTTGAGCTGTATGTAACTGACCTCCACCTTCATGTCTGTCTACCAACGCCATGAAGAGTTATGCAGCCGCTGTCACTTTATGAAAGGTCCTACATGATACGGTCCCACGCTACAGAGAGGGACAAAGCTGTGTAAAACTACAGAGGCTTCCGGGAAGCAAGTCACACAATAAAATCCTGTTTGATAACAGCACAAAACTGAGGTTTGGTAACTTTATACTACCTATAGCTCTACTGAGTCCTATGCCAAATAAACAGGACAGCTAGAACTTCAGTTAGCTTGGAAAAAATGGTGCAAATTTGTACCACTAAAACCTACCTGCACCCAAATAAGACTACAAGGAAAGATAAAAAACCACCCTGGAAGTGGCTGTCCAATCGGAGGACTCTGGCACTTCCCACTGAGTGACAACTCTGAAGGGTCACTCAGCCAGTAGTGCCTTTCACTAATTTCTGTTTTGGCCACTGGGTAATAAACACAGACACACTCGACTAAGCTATGCAAACACAGACCTTAAATAATGTCTGTGGCTGAAAGAGAAGAGAAGATTCTACTCTAAGCTATCCCAGGCACAGGGAAGAAACACAGAAAATTAATAAGGGAGAACAGAATTAGTCAGGAACAGATACCTTCTACCTCCACGTGGGTGGACTTAGCTATGTAAAAAATGAGGGTTCACCCCTCTCTGTATTAAGCATTAAATATTTCAGTGACAACAAAAATGACCACAGAGAAGCACAAGCTAACATCCACTCAATCACTGCAGCTTTTTGATATACAGGGCAATGCATTTCAAGGAAGACAAGTTCAGAGTTAAATCCAGCTGGCGGCCGGTCACAAGCGGTGTTCCCCAGGGCTCGGTTCTGGGGCCGGTCTTGTTCAATATCTTTATCGATGATCT